TCAAGGGACATGTTCCAGGATGAGGACAATTCTCCCTCTGTCAGCAGCCATTAATTTTCTGTGGCTCTTCATCTAAATCGGGACCTTTTTAGAATTTCCCATTTACAGCTGCATTTCGATTGGATTGTCAGTTTGCAGGTCTTGTTGGGCTGACCATAATTTTGAGGTTTCACAGGTACAACTTCCCTGTAATATATAGAAGACACTATTTCATAGCTATCAACCTGATTTTCTGGATCTAACGATCTTTCTGGCTCCATAATCTGGTATTTTCCCTGAGCATCAGATGTCAGAGTTGTCTTGTCTTGTTTGGAGGTGGGCACTACAAGGAGAGTTGACCGCTGCATTTTGACCAGTTGTGACTTTATGTAATGATTTTTCTTTTGATAAAAGATTCTTCTTTGATTGAGAATGAGAACTATATTGATCTGTGAGTATAAATATGCATTTTAGAGTTCAGGATTGTACTGGTGTAGGACTGTGGCAGTAGTATGTTCCTCTCTAGGGTTCATGAACTTACCAAGCAGAGGACTTGGCTAGGTTTACAGTTCTAGGCATGGATTTCCTCCTATTTAACAATAATTATGTATAATTAGTTAAGTGGTAGTTACCTCAGAAATAAAACTGCCATGAGAGAACTTTTTTTTTTTGAGACAGGGTTTTTCTGTGCAATAGTCCTGGCTGTTCTGGAACTCAGTTTGTAGAACAAGCTGTCCTTATACTCCCAGAGATCTGCCTTGTTCTGCCTATGGAGTGCTGGGATTAAAGGCATGTACTACTAGGCCTGGTTTACAACAACACTCTTTGGAATATTTTGCCGTGTTGGTCATTGTAGTTAATAAGATTTAAAATTGTACAGTGTCAAGGAATTATTCTTAATATAAAAATAAACAGTGAATTAATCAGCCGGCTGTACTTCTTTACTTTATATTAGTCCCCAATAATCACACAGATAGACTAATATTTATTTAAAACTGCACTTCTATAGCTGAGCAGTTAAATGATCTACCTTAGCCTTCTATGCTCAACTGGCCACCTCCAGCTCCATCCCTCTACACTTGCATATTATTATTGAACTGGCTCTTTGGGCTTCAGATATTTTTCCATAATCTCTCTCTGGACCCTTTTTTCATGGCTCCAAATCCTCCGTCGTCCTCACTGATCTGAATTCCTCTCTCTCTCTCTCTCTCTCTCTCTCTCTCTCTCTCTCTCTCTCTCTCTCTCTTACACACACATACACACACACACATGCACACACACACTCACACACACTCATATACACTCATATATACACACTCACATACTCACACACACATACACACTCACACATTCACACGCACGCACACTCTCACCCATGCGTATCTCTGTCACTCTCCCTTCCTGCCTTCCTTTCCCTTCCCAATATGTCCTCCCTGCTGGCTCCTTGGTTTCCACTTTGTCAATCATGGCACCAGTGTTTACCATTTCATCAGAGCTTCCACCCATTGAGTGATTTCCTAAGTCTATATAAACTTATTCTATATATTTTTATTTTGTTTAATTTGTTTTTTTTTTATTTTCACGGGTCATTGTTTGATATTAGAAAATTTACCACACAACACTTCGGTGTTTTCTTTAAGAAACTGTAGTTTTATCCTGAGTGAAAGGATGAGTAAGATGAGGTTTGTTAAGAGATTTATAAACATCCAATTATTTCAGTGCTTTTTGTAGATAAAGTAAATCTTTGCGTTGCTTTTGAGCTGTATATATCAATTAACACTAATGTGAGCCTATTTCTGCTCTCTATTCAATTCCATAGGTGGATGTTTCCATTTCAATATTATATCATTTTTTAATCCTCAGTTTTCTTTAAGAAGCCTTTGGCTTATACATATATTTTGGGGAGACCTACAACTGAAACATTATTATCTTAAGGCAGGAAAGCTTCCCTGGTTGTGGTTTGTTTATCACTACTTTTTGACATATTCAGGTTGATTTTTCTCTTTCAGTAGATTTGTATTGTGTGCAGACCATAAGTTCCTACTCAGTGCTTTCTACATATATCCTTCAGATTCTGCAGGAGGGGTTTTTCTCTCCATTGACAAGGATGATAATACTTGTCCTCATTTTCAGACAGATGCAGCTCTCCATGCCTGCTTCCTTACCTGTCAGGATTGTGGCTTCTTCATTTTTCTGCATTTACATTGGAAACCTGCACTCAATGCCTCTGCCTAGTCTTGAGGCTATTCAAATTGAGTTCTTATCTCTGTGAGTGTTCTTACTGATTCTGGTATTTGAAAATGTATTTCCTGTATATTAATTCCCTTCCATTTTGTCAAATATTTTTGGTAATCTTCAGCTGAGAAATTAGAAGTTATGTTCTATGCTCAGTCAACAATTTGAACTGAGAAGTTCTGAATACATTGTGCTGTCCTCTTAACATAGACATTTGTGGTCATGAAAATATATAGTTTATGCAAACCTATCAACACGTGGAATGGATTCTCACAAATATTCAGTTGATTAGTGTAGACTGTCACAATTGTGAGAGTGAATATTTAGAACTAAGATGTCTTTAATCTTTCCTCCATTTCCTCCACCAAAACTACCCTAGGTCACACTATAATATTGACAATGTTGAGTTGTCACTGGAAACTATTTCATATATCGCTATTTACTTTGCTTGCTATAGTCTCCGTTTTGGGGATGTTTATAGCTTTGAACTCTCTGTCCACCTTTTGTGCATCCCTCCTATAGATGGCTGCACACGAAGACCATTTGTTGTAAGATTTTCCTCCTTATTCCACCATTTTTCATAGCCTTGTGCCACCTGGCACATAACACAGAAACTAGTGAGTGACCCAATGTTTTAACTGTCAGTCACCATGAACTGCTTTACGAAACAGGCTTAACAGCTCATAAACTGGAAGCAATCCTGTTTACTGCCATCTCTGGATTCATAGATTGCTGCCTGTTAGTGTTCTAGCAACACTTAGGGGCCAAACACCTAAAATACTTCATGTATTTCTTAAGGTCTGGTCTTGTGTGCATCCTTGTACTTTTTCATCTAGTATAATAGGATTAGACCTTGGGGTGATGATGTCAAAACTACTGACAGATTTCTACCACATGCCGTGTGTGAATATGTCTACCACATCTCGAAATTTTTGAAGGAAGAGAAAAAGTCCCAGAGAAACGATATTTGAAGATGAATAAATAGATTCCTTACTCTTCTTTTTTTCAAGAGTCTGTCACTGTGGGTTAATTGACACCTTCTTTTTGTCTTATTGGCCTGTCAGCACTTTTTTCCCTTCGTCTTGAATTGCTTTACTCTCTGCTGCAGGTGGAGGTCTATACTGAAAATAAACTTGAATCTATTAAAGTGGCTAACACACAGTGATGTCCCTGTTTTGTAAATTGAGTTCAGACATAGGCTATCTATCTGTTTGGCAGCAGGAGAGGTTACTTTTGGTCCAGGTTTTACTATTTGAGATGTTAGAGTTGCTTTTTGAGGTGGATAGGGTCAGGGTACTATCAGATTCACACATTACTGTCTTTACTGAATTTATATGAATGACCTCCTTTGGAGATTGAAGAATCCAACACAAGTATGCAGAAGGGTTATCTCCCCCAAGCACACTGTTTTCACCCCCTTTTATTGTAAGAGATGTTATTGCCTTTTGGAACATATTCGGGTTTATTTTTATTTATTTATTTATTTATTTATTTTTTACAAAAAGGCTTGAAAACAGTTGCAGTATTATGACAACCACAAACATGCACAAAGCATTTATTTTCCAGATTTGCCTGATGGAGAATTTAAAGTTTTTTTCATGATGTATAAGATTATTAGGCTATAATCCTAATAAAACTCAGCTTGTGGAAACAACCAAAATAAGCATACGGTATCATGTGGAAGATGTGTATTATTGCCCCTTTCTTACACAAACAGAGATGGAAGTCGCACCTTTGATAACTCCACTCCAGCACCTCTAGGTTTTAGTGTTCAGAGAGGTTGAGCTTCTGTCCCCAGGTTATAATTACTACTGCCCAGTTAAGCTAAAAGGGAGCCAAGCCACTATGTAGATGAACAGTGTAAATGTTTACATCTTTATGTATATATTTTCTGCTAAATTTTAAATTCGGTTACCATTTACCCAAACCTAGGCTATTTAGAATTAACATGGTTTCCATATCAAATTGTTAATATGCAGATTTTTCTCTTCTTCAGCTACATCCCTTAAGAAGAAAGAAAACAAATCTATTTCTCCCATAACCATGGTGCATTTACCTTGTAGCAGCTGGAGATTTTAAAGGCTTAATGGGAATGAATTCTCAGTATTCAACTGACTTCCATTTCTCACAATTATCCTGTCAACGGTCTTGCTAATGAATTTTGTGTCCCAAACATCTTAAGTAGAGTGGCTAACATATGGTGGCATAGTCACTAAACAGATGACAGAGGGCACAGATCCACATCTGCGTTAGCATGTTTTCATTTGCCTCTTTTCCTCCTTCCTACCCTCCCTCCTTCTGTCTTCCTCTTTCTCTCTCCCACATTCCCTGCCTCCATCCCTCCCTCTCTTCCTACCTTTTTTCATTACTGCCACTATATTGCTTCTAATGCCTCTCTTCTTTGATAATTCTTAAAGGAATGTTTGAGTTAGCTGGAAAAGCTTCAGTGTTCTTTATAAGTGAGGTTGTCAGTTACACTTTGTGAAGCGGCTCCTTCTGACATGAGGGAGCAACCCCAATGTTGGCTGGTGTATAAGAAGGCATATTTGCCGCTCTTGATATGACTACATTTCAGTTAGCTGAGGTGTACCACAAGTTGCTATATTGTTTTCCCTTTACTCGGGACTTTAATAAAACACACTGAACACTTGACTTTTTAATAGCTTCCTTTTAAGTGTTTAAGAATTTTATGTCAAAGTTTATTAACTCGGTCAAGAAGGAATAGAAATGTTTTCGGAAAGCAGAATGCCTTGTGAAGTCTTTTAGTCTTTAAAAAAGAAGCATATAACCCCTGGCCATAGGCAAAGACATATCTTGTTGGTGATGTTCTTGTATCAGTCAGGGGCAGAGCAGTCAACAGCCCTTGTTTATCCTAGCTTTATTTCTGGCTTGGTGGCCAATGCTGTCTTATGCCTAGGACTCATAAAATTCAAGTCAAGTCAAGTCAAGTAAAGTCAAGTCAAGTCAAGTCAAATCAAATCAAATCAAATCAAAGCAAAGCAATGCAACTTGGGAGGAGGAAGACAGACACCTGAAAGCAGAGAGAGGTAGGGCTAGTTCACTTGCTCTCCTGACTTCTGGGCTAGCCAGAGAGCTGTCCCTTCCCCTAACCAGCTGCAGCACTCAGGATTGCGGAACCTGTACCTCATCTGGGCAGCATAATAGAACTGTCTTTGATGGAGGGTCACAGGTAAGCCACCTTCTGAGGGTGCTAGAGAGCTGGCCTGCCACTTGTCTGGCATGAAGTGCAGTGGATGCTGGGGAGATACCCTCCCCTAATCCCCTTGCCATCTGCAGTAGCCAGGAAAGTTGGCTCTGGGGTCATGGGAGCTGTCCTGGCACCTTGCTGGCTGTAGCACTTGGGAGAGTGGGGCCTGCACCTTGACTGAGCAACACAGTAGAGCTGGCTTTGGATGTGTGGGTACCAACTTACCAGCCTGAGGACATGAGAGCAGGAGAGCTGACCCTGTCGCCTGCCGATGATGCCATTGGGTGACCTAGCTGAAAGAGTGTTTGAGAACTCTTCCCTGGTGGTGTGGGTAAGAGAGAACTTGTGGCCTGACCAGCCCAGCTCCCACACAGGCCCAGATCCAGGATTCAAAATTGGCCCAGCCCCAAATCTGTATCATATGTGAACTGCAGAGATGTGTGACCAGGCCAGTTCTTGTGTTCTGCTCCAAGACTGCAGGAGCTACATGCCACAGGGCAAAACCAGGATAATCTGGAGGAGTTCGGTTGAGGATCCATGCAATACTCATGGTGTCCTAGAGTTCAGAGATTTCAAACCAGACCAATGACTCATTACAATGAACATTTGCAAGTGAAGATGTGTGAACAGAGGGATATACTGTGGGACACACTACAGCTTCCATGATGAGGTGTTTTCTATACTTTGTTTTTGTTGTCTGTTTGTGTGTGCTTTATTTGGGGATAAATGACAAATATGAGGGGACAGGAGATGTGTGAGACTGGTTTGCATGATAAGAAACTCACAAAGAATCAATAAAACATTTTTAAAAATAAACATTTATACTTAAACAGGGTATACTTTCTAATACCACAGTGTGGTGCACACATAGTCTATATTAATTTAAAACTGCCTAGATAAATATGATTTTTGGAATAGAATCAGAACTACCTCAAAAGCTGTTCTTAGATATTTACAGGGTTTATATATCCATTTATATATTAAATATTACATGTAAATGTTGTTACATATATATGGATATGTATTTACACACACATGTACATATCAATAGTAACTAAAAATAAAGAAGTCATAGATATAAGAGGAAGCAAGGGGATGTGAAGGAGTTGGAGGAAAAAAAGGGAAGAAAAAATGATGTAATTAACTTTTATTTTAAAAATAAACATAATTAAAATATAAAATTCAATAAAAGAAAACATATATATATATATATATTTCCACTAACAATACATCCTTCTAATGAAATAAAAAGTATATTAAGGAGAGAAAAATTATAGTTATTAGAATTACAGATATAAACATTATTATTTAGGATTATGTGATTTTCACATATAGAGTATATAAATTTTTTTTCATATGGAAATTATTACAGTTTTAAGAGCATATAGCAGAATGTAAAATATACTTTATATTAATACTATGTGGTGGCACACTCCTACTAGTCCACTTACCTGATAGGCTGTGGCAGGAAAAATGGCAAGCTCCTAGTTAGCCTGGGCAAAACACCCACATGATATCTTAACATTTATAAATATAGATACTCTTCTCTGGTGGCTAATGATTCTGTACATACTTTTAAAAAACATCTATCATCCACTTATATTTCATCTTTTGAGAATTGTTTGTTTAAATGTGTCACCTGAACTTTTTATTGTATTGTTTTCTTGTTTGTTTTTTGAGCTCATTGTGTATTCTATTTATTAATTCCTGTCAGATATTCAGTTGCCAATTTTTCTTCCATTCTTTAAACTGTTTCTTCCCTAGATGGAGAGTTTCCTTCGATGCAGAAGCTTCTTAGCTTCATGTAGCCCCATTCATCAATTTCTGGTCTTATTGTTTGAGTAACTAGAGTCTTGTTTCAAGATTTTTACCCAAGTCTGTACATTGTAGCATACCCACTATTTCTCTTTGTGGTCTTTGATCCATTTGGAGCGGCCGATGTGTGAGGAGAGAGACAGGGTCATGTTTCATTCTTATGTAAACAGATATGTAGTCTTTCCAAAATCACTTTTGGAAGGTGTTTTCTTTTTCTTCCAGTGTATATTCTTGATATAGTTTTCAAAAACACACGATTGTGATTACATATACTTATATGTTTTCTATTCTAGTCCATTAATGTGTGTGTCTTTTTTTGTGTGAGTACCAACGTCATTTTAATATCTATGGAATTACAATGTAGCTTGAGATGTGATAAGTCTTTTAAAACTGCTGCCTTTTTTTAAAAAATCATGGTTGCTTTGATTATCCAAAGTATCTTGTGTTTCTTTATAAATTTTAAAATTGATTTTCTATTTCTGTAAAGAATGCAATTGAGATTTTGTTTGGGATTGTATTTAAACTATGGTTTGCTTTGGGCAGAATGACCATTTTACAATATTATCCTACCAATCCTTGAGAAAGAGTCTTCTAGTATTTTTTCTATTTCTTAAAATAATTTTGTTTAACGTACACACAAACACACATGTGTGTATGGGGGATAAATATATAAATTGAGTGTGTGTGTGTGTGTGTGTATGTGTGTGTTCATGTGTGCACATACAGGCCTGTGGGTAGAAGTCAGATGTCAACTTGCAAGATTTAGTTCTCTCTTTCTACCATGTGGGCGTCAGGTTTTCAGCCTTGGCAGCAAGTACCTCTACCCACTGAGCCATGTCACCAGGCTCTATCTTTTTCTTCAGAGCTTTAGAGTTTTCATTGGAGAGGTCTGTTATCTCCTTGGTGTTTATTCTGTGGTATTTTATAACTGGGGATCGTTTCCTAATTTCTTTCTCATTGTGACTGTCATTAATATAGGAAGAGGCTGCTGGATTTTATATGTTAGTTGTGTTTGTTGCCATGATGCTGAAGCTGTTGACCAGTTCTAGTTTTCTGGTGGAGTATTTAGAATCTCATATGTAGCAACCTATTTTATAAAAATGGATTCTCTTTTTCTATTAATTTTATTTCCTTTGCACTGCTCTAATCAAGTCTTTAAAGACTGTATTAAATAGTGATAGGGATAGTTAACAGCTCTGTGTTGTTATTGATTTTCATGTTATTGCTTCAAGTTGTTCTCCATCTAACTTGATGTTTCCAGTGGGTTTATCTTATACAGCCTTTACTATGCTCAAGAATATTCCTTACAACTCTATTCTCTGTAGAACTTTTATCATATAAGGATGTTAGATTTTGTCAATTGTCATTTCTGAGATGTTAAGTCATTTTTGCCTTAAAGTTCATTTACATGACTTATTACATTTATTGATTTGTATATGTTGAACTACCCCTGCTCATCGATATAAAGCCTACATGATAATGCCGAGTGATCTTTCTGATGTGTAAGATTTTGGTGAGGTATTTTGTATCCATGTACATCAGGAATATCAGTATATAATTATCGTCCTCTTTTTATTTTGTATTTTATCTGTTTTTTTGTACTAGGTTATTACTCCTTTTGTAAAAAGTGTTTGTCAATTTTCCTTTTATTTTTATTTTTGGGAACAGTTTGAGAAAAATTGGTTATAGTTCTTCTTTAGAGGACTGTATACCTCTACTCTCAATTAACCTGGACCAGAATTTTTTTATTCTTGATTTTTTTTGTGTGTGCTTCAGTATTTTGATTCTAGGTCAGTTTCAATTACTGTTTATATTTAAGTTTAACTTGTGTGGTTGTATGCATTTAGAAAGTCATTCATTTCTTTTATTTTTTCAAGCTTAGTGAAATATAAAATTTTTGAAATGTACCCTTATTTGGTTTTTTTGCTTTGTTTTTTACTTTTTTCTATCTGTTGTAATGTCTATGATTTTTATTGATTTGGATATTCCTCAACTATTTCCTGCAGCTAGATTATTGGAAAGGAAGATTCAGATCACGTTATTTGCTACCTATTGATGACCCTACCAGAAACCAGTAGATAGTCCCGATCTGAAAGTCCCAAACTGGTCACACAACAACAACAAAAAAGTCATGAATCTGAGGAAGGGACCGTTAGTGGGATTCATGACTGATCAGGGTGGGAGAGACATAAGGGAAAATAGTGAGGGAGTATCTGAGTTGAGTTATATACATGTATAAAACTGTCAAAAAATTAACTCTTTCAAGTTAAAAAAAAGGTACTTTTCAAAGATTTTTGTTGACCCATCCAATAAAAATGCTTTCAGATATTGAAGTCATGAAAATATATTTTCAAATTCTTTATCTAACATAGCATGGAAAGTATAAAAGGTTAATAGACAAAATGAACAAAAGAAATTCACAAAATTTCAAACACTAGGACCTATCAACTACATGAAGATATTGTGACATATTCCTTTCTTAACTTGAGAAATACACATGAAGGCTGGAATGAGATTCTTTATTATTCTCATTACTTTGCCAGAAACTGGAGCACTTAGTTTATCTGCTGTCAGTTATTACTTAAAGAAGTATACTAAATGAGCACATACCATGCGGATTTTATATGTACATCAGTAGTGTGAATCCACTGGCACAGTGTGTGTAAATGCCAGATGTGGTGAGATTTTATCTTGTATATGTGATCAGATAAAATAACTCCTGAGAGAAACTGTAAGGAAACCAGCTGAATGTTTGACCTGATGACTGATGTTGTATGGTTTATATTAAATGTATATTCTTTTAATCAATGAATAAAGCATTAAAAAGTGAAAAAAAAGAAGTATACTAAATGTGGTAATAGAAATAAAAAAGCTATTTGGGTGTTTCCTGCAATATTTTGGTG